ATTACATTGCCTAATAAGATGTTCATGTCCTAATCGAGATACGTTTAAGGAGTAAGTCAATATATTAATATAAAAAATATATTGCTTAATTGACTTTGTATAATAAAGTCTTGTTGGAAGGCAGATACCTTATTGGTCGAAATCTAAATCCCTTGTCTATCGAACCGAATTGGACTTTAAAATTTACTCAAAAACTTGTATATTTCAAAATAAAAAGTAAAATAAGATACAATGTTTCCATTATGGTCAGCCCATGTTCGGGGATTAGTGGAACTATGGATATGCGGATGTCCATATTATCTAACTAGTCGATTCAATATTTGTAAACCATTTGATTCAGAAGGGTTCCGCCAGAATTCTTCAACCAGGTTAAGAGAAATTGGCAACCTCCTTTTTTGATGGAAACTGTGGCGTTAACTGATACAAATATTGACATCATACCAAATATTGGACAATTGGCTGACGCAAATAACATCACGTCCAATGTTGATGATGTTGAAGATAATAACATAGATGCTTCATTTGATGAACTAATCAATGTAACTCGAAAGACGCTTGATCTTTTGGAAGAACAAAAGTCAAAAGGGAGTACAAGATGGTGCAAAGGCGTGAAGAGATATCTAGTAACAGACGTTGAACAATATCGGAGAAAAAGAACGATGCCACTAACGTGGAAAGGTCATAATGGTAGCACTAGATACTTAGAATAATCGTATGTACCGAATATGATATAAATAACCCCGTATATTTTGTAAATTATATGTGATGAATAATCATATGAGATTGCAAGTTTGGTATAGTCGCCACAAACCCGTTACACAATAGTCATGTGTCCGTAAAATTTTTGATGGTGATGCTGGGGAAAAACGATTCTGGCTCTCTTGGGGTAGTTATTATTCAAGGTTATGCAGATCACGGTAAAAGCGGCGGATAAACACTTTATTCTCCGTGTAACATGCCGGATTACGTCATTAATAAAATTGCCAGGCCAGGCATTACACATTTTTTTTATAGTAATTTTCCTCCTATATAGTGATAATCACAGTCACCCGATTTTGGATCCCCGTTTACTATGACGTCTCTATATAAAATCCCTCTACACAGTCACAATTATTGCCTAATTTTATACTGTGCATAGCACATAGTGTAGCGATTTACTATGTTGTAGCGAAAATAATAAATGCTTTTACTACTTATTACTGTATTATGTCAGTATAAACATCTCACAAAGGTCACAAATTTATGAAGACAATAGTGATGAGTCTCGAGAAGAAATACCATATGTGAAGATAAAAGATGCTCGAACAGTTGTCTGACTTGTTTCGTAAATATCTGAATCTGATCAACTTGAGTCAAACGTTAACAAAAAAAGTTAAATCTTATTTTACATAATAATAATAACAGTAATTCATTATTATTATTATTACTACTACTACTTTAATAAAAACTTATCGTGTAACATATATTATTGATCATATGAATATCAATACAGTTAGAGTCACCTGATCTTAAAAGAACCCAAACCATTCTTTGTGGTGGAGATTGTTTTACCGTTGATCTTTATGAAATTCCTCTTCTGGTTTTCTCCACACTCTTTCTCGGTCAGATTGTTGAAACTATGAAAACGTAGACACATCTGTCCAGATTATCTTTTTCCAATCTGCTAAAGTCTAATGTCTTCTTTCTATTGCCCAAGCAAGTCGTTTCGTATTGATCGATTGCTGAAATCAATGGGATTTTTTTCGAAAAATACAAGAAAGTGAATTTTCTTGTTTGTTTATTTAGCAGAAAATATATTGGCAATTTCTGCCGCCTTGTTTCCTTATTTTTGAGAACCATAATCTTCAATCTTTGTTTTTTCTCCTGATTCATAAGCCGCAAGATGTCTTGTATTTGTTGTTCGGATGACATCCAACAATCAATCACTTTTGCAATGTCTGCACTGTCGTGGCCTGATTTATTGGCCGCAAGTATGCTTTCTTTTTGTGCAAAGTTATTTCTTACCACGATCCATACGATCCGTAGAAGATTAATCAAAATATAGTAATAGGCAATACTTATACAGTCTACAATCAAAGAATTTTCCCAGGAAGACAATACAGTTTCACTTATACAGTCTACACTCAAAGAACTTTCCCAGGAAGACAATACAGTTTTCACTTATACAGTCTACACTCAAAGAATTTTCCCAGGAAGACAATACACCAGTTCACACGTCTCCCATAGTTACATAATGGCAACCTCCTCAACTGGTCCGGTGAACTGAGAATTTGGGAAGCGATTCCGAAAAAAGTATATCGTGGCTTAGCGTTGGTGTGATCAATACCAAATCGAGTTCAGGCTGTGCTGCTAACGCTAAAGTATTGATTCCGAATATTTATAAAATATGTGTTGCATCATAATTTACTATTGTAAATTTTACTATAACCATATACATAGTTGTCTTAATAACAAGGTTTTTTTATCGCTAAAAATAAAAGTGTGCTCCCCGTATGTCATCCAATTTCAGCGTAGCGTTATCAAATTTTCACACGACACACGTAATTGTACTGTATGATGAACAGAGCTCGAAGCACGTTAAGTGATAATAGCGAAATAAATACGCCTTATTTCGAAGATACATCAAATGGAATGATTATGTTCGCGTGATCAAGACAATAACCAAAGTTTAACAAAATCCGGACTATATTTGTATTTTTTTATTAATTAATGTTATGTAATACGACCATTTATTAAATAAAAATTGTTGACATGCTTACTGCGAATCTATCAATGCAAAGATTACAGTGAGCAGACGTTTCTATTATAAATTTAACTTGGCTTTATGGTTGTAATAAGTAATCAAGCAAATGAATTCTAATCGACTTGGTCTATTCAGGCACAGATGACAAAAAACGTGTAAACAACCCGACGAGCCAAAAGAATGAAGAAAGCAGGCTTGACGCGATTACTGCAAATACGAATGTATCGAATTCCTCTCAGAAGACCTTGCTTCAACAGTGGATGGGTTGCACGTAATACAGACATTCGTAAACCCCTAACACGGTTTATATACTGTATATAGTTGTTTCACTGTTTGACTTGCCTACACTTGTATGTAGTTCTCTCTTACGCCCATACAGTCGGCTAGAAAATTTGAAAGAAAGAGTTGATCTCAGCAATTGTGGTAAGAATATAAAAGTGCACAAAAAGATGTTGAACGAGTTCAAAAAACGTATTTTATGTAGAACGAAACAAATAATTACACCCTTCGAAAAGGAAGAGAAGAGAAAGGAAGTATTTTTACACAAACTCGTCCGATACATGCCAATAAATTATTTGATAACAAGTCTAGAAGTGTTGGCGAAAAGTTTCATAATAATTTAACCGCGTCAGAAATTGCGACCAGCAACCGTGAACGTATGTACATGTTATAGTGATTATTGCAAGTAGATTAGGTTACGTCTAATCAACGTACATTGAAGTCAAACATTTTAATATTTACTAGAAAAAATCACACTCTGTTATCTGTAAAACTTCCTGAAATTCGATCGTCTGCGGTTCTTGCACTCGGATTGATGACTCTGTTTATTCTATCTATATGGGTTTTTTAAAGCTAATTTATTCTGTCATCCCCCCAAATTGCTCATCTACATTATTATGTTTGTTTTATCCATTTATTACATATTTGCTATTATCGATGAGTCTGAACGATTACTAAACTAGTTCTTAAGATTGTACAAGATTGTATTAAATTACCGTTGATTTAATTAAATTAACTCTTGTGATGTATATAAAGTAACGGCTTTGGCTTTTACTATTTGAACTTGGGATAAAATTGTTAACCCAAACATTTAATAAACAGTCACACAGCAGAATAAACTGTATTGGCATCACTTGATTCATCGTCAATTATAGCATTTCCCATAAATATTTCCTCGATCACATCTACAGCCGACAAATCTTCCATATCTCGAAGTCTGCTGACTGCCGGCGACGACGTTCTTGATTCTTGTGCTAAATAAGATGATCTCTACGCGTGCAAAACCATATTGGTAAATAACGAATCCAATGGTGAAAGAATTGTAAATAACAACAACTAATAATTACCAGTGAAGGAGTTGACCTAGATCGTGACATGCGATGTGGTGCTAGTACTGACATGCTTCGATACCCAAGAACTAAATACATCGTAAACTTGAGGACATACACATTATAAAATCAATCATTCTGGGAAAAGAAAAAAAAAGTCAATGTTACTTGATCTCTCGTCATCCTGTAACTCTTTTCGTTCTGATATTATGCCAGTAATGCCTCCGAATATGTGAGCTTTCTTAAGTGGAGGTCTGTAATGAATAGAAAACCCAAGAATTAAATCACTACAACACAAATACTGCATCAAACATATTTTAAAGACGTACACTTTATAAGCAACATCTCCTGTATGCTTTTGCTTCATTGTTATATTTAGCTGCGTAAAATAAATATGTATAACATAAGAACCAAGAAACATTAAATGTCCTCGCTAGAATCCAAATCGATGCAATTACCTTTAAATTTGAGTTTATTTTACTGTCTTGCAACAGATACCGTCGTTCCAATTTATTACATCCGACATATTCAGCGAGATTCAACGTTAAAATCCCAACATTGTTTACCTCTTTACCGCCGTTCAATTCCTGACAATAAACCAATATATCTGAGTCTCAACAAGAATACGGTCAGTTGGGCGGACACATCAGTCAACCATCCTACCTTACCTGCTTTATGCTTAACTTGAGTTCACAGGGCATAAGGTAACCATCCCTACCAATAACGAGCTGAACGATTGTCTCAAACTGATAATTCCATACTACACTGTGATCACGTACGCTATGTTGAGCTCTACATAAAAAGATGAAGATGGAAAACGTCAATACTTTTCGTGAGACAGTAACAGATACGTCGGAAACTCACCGTTTACTCGACCCGGACTTCTTCTCACCGTGTTGTAAACGCCATTTAACGTAATAGTTACCTGTAACTAGTGGAACATTGACCAGTTCATGCACTGTAATGTCAACATAAAATTCGACTTTGCGGCTTCTCGGCAAAAATAGAAGGGAAAGCGAAGACATCTGCTTTAAGAAAGATTAAGTGAGATGCAAAGGTCTGGGAAAATGACAGAATCAGTCATTAGTCACGGGACATGTCACAACCAATGATATTTTCATTAATTAATATTAAGACATTTTGATACGTGTAACATACGATGCTGAGAATGCGCCAACTCTTGTCTATACGTCCACTTTTTGCGCTTTCATTACCACAGTTAATTCGGGTCTTATACCCGAAAAAAGTCACTTTTTACGACATAAACGCGAAGATATTTAAAGTAATAGTTCAATGCATCTTATTGGTACAAACATGCATACATCTTTATTAAATTAATGTTTTTATTCCCATACAAACGATTATGGAAAATACGTTATCCCACGATAAGAAGTTTTACATCATGGAAATATAAGTAGAGGTAATTGGGAAAGCATTCCAGATAACCACATACTCGCTAGGCATATTATCATAGCGAGGATTTACATTGAATGTGTCCATGAAATGTATGCATTATTAGCATGAGATAATCATCATAATTTTTTGCTGACGGCTTTCAGTTTCTACAGAATGTATCAAACATCATTAACAGAAGTGATAATCTAGCATTGTTCATCCCAATCACACGACAATGTGTCTAATATGAGCAATTATTGCAGTATATCCATATACAAATTGCACACGTATTACGGAAATACTTACCAACAGTTTTTACAAATTCCAGGATCGAAGACAACTTTCCAAACATCGATATATTTTTGATATATTATTTTATAATAAAGACGCTTTACCGAACAGAAACTGTCAGAAAATATCAACTCTCCGAAATAGACGGGTGATGTACGCGTTGATTGGTCAAGTGAAATTTACAAGTTTTCGATATATCGACAGCTTTGAAAACGTGAAAACTAATTATCATATGAGAATGTAGAAACTGTAGTATTTTCTTCTATTGTCTCTGTGACAGTAATACATGGTACAGTAAGGATAAATTAGTAATTATTGTATTACGTAAAAGTAGCAAAAGCTTCTATACAATTAGTTACAGTTTCTGCATCTGAAAATCGCACAGGAATTTCGGATGGTGATATCGGTGTACATTAGCGAGATCTCGAACATGAATATTCAAGTGCAATATCTCCCCGCTATTTGTACACCTAAAATACCAAACTGATCTTTATCGGGTTTAAGCCTTTGGCGTGCCCAATAAAGTGTATCATTAGTCTCTCGCCATAACTTACAAACTAAGCGAGAACTTTCAATATATAAGTTCAAAAAAAGTTTACTACAAGCATAATATCCGGGCGTCTTCTCAATACGACCTTCTCCCTTTCTATTAGCACTAATAATACTCTGCTTTTCCGACGTACTAATAAAAAGGAAATCTCCGATGAGAAGATTTTTCAGCGACGCGCTGAGGACGGATACGACAACGGTCGCTTTGGTATGTCCTCTCGTTCAATGTCTTCGCAAGTTCGGATTCGAAGGTCGGATTCTTCCAGGTATCTTTCAAAACGTTAAAATTTCCTTGACCACCGCCAATGTCTCTCCACCCCCATGAATGGCGCCTCATACCTCTCCTATATAAATGAATTTTTTTGTTCACAGGATCTATCAACCACGCAAGTTGTACACTTGATTCTGGTGCAAAATAATCGTCTTTTATTTTGCGATCCAGTTTTTCGAATTTTGACTTTATTGATATGTCTGCAACTTCAATAGCAAATATTGGAAAGAAGGGTGCGCCTTGAAAAGTTTCGCGTTGCCGTTTAGTCAACTCTTTATATACTTTTCTAGTTAGATATCCAACATCCGGTGCATCAATTTTCTTTTAGAACCATTTTTACAGATTTTACTGAGGTATTGGCTATAGATGGTATTTTCTTGATAATCGAATTGATAATGGGCGTGTCGGTATTGGTATTGTCAGTGTTACTGGTGCTGTCATCGTTACTGTCGATGCTGTCGATGCTGTCGATGCTGTCGATGCTGTCGATGTTGTCGTTGTTGTTACTGGTGTTGACGAGTGTGGGAGGGAGGGGGTCGGGATTATACACTTTATAATGTAAACTCAGGAGCGTGACTGTATAGTAAATGGCTTTTTTTCAATCTTAGTTTAGCCGGTTTCGCGTTAATTTTCTGTCTGTTAGAAATTTTTTGCATAATTTTCGAACCATTGGCACGGGCGTAAGCCTCATGTTGCGAGCAATTTTCTAGTACACGTCATTACTAGTTAGCCGCAGCTTGTAGACTTCTTTTATTTTGAACTCTTTTCTTAAATTTCCGGTATTCCTTTACAAGCTTCGATTCTTCGCCGGTGACTCAGACCAATGAAGGACGCACATATCAAGCGGCAACCATCCGATCCATACCCAAGAGCAGGGGACGGATTCCTCATCCCCAAGGATTCGACGGCCGTTATAGGCTAATATTGTTTCTGGAGTGCCCGTATCCACAACGACTTTGTATAGTTTATTCGCATCTTTAGCTTTCCCCTGACCAGATGACACGCTTGTTCGATGACGTTACACAAAAGTCTCACAACAGCGCGCCGTGAGCACAGACAACCCTTCGGAGCGGATATCGAACGTTCACTGCAAGTAAATCATTTAATGATCAGGTTAGCACTACAAAGTATTTTCGTGTGTACCCTATTCACCATGTTCGGTAACAGGCTTCGATTAATTTACACTCTGCGTGCTCTCGAAAACTACGATTTACACCTAGTGGCAGCGTATTTCGGATACATACTTACCCAGTAAGAATTCTTGCCTCGAAACACCTTCGCGTTGATGTGGACCTTTTTGCGTGGAAAACTCGATTCAAAAAGCCTACTTGGATAAAATATTACCAAGAATGAGTAAACAGTATCATCAAAATCACGGACCTCATGAAGGAAGACGCATG